CTATGATGGTTCTAGGCTTGGATCAAGGCTCTCTGCTTGGGGCAGGGATCTGGGCTTGGATCAGGGTTCTGATCATGTGAAATCTGCTCCCATTTCAAAGTCTGGGGAAGAAGAGAGGACGGGTTCTGGACTGGCCTGGCTGCAGACCTGACCTGTCTCCAAGACCTCCCTGTTGGACACCTTAGGACGACTTTGGAAGACGAATGGGACAAAATAACACCTGAAACTCTTTATTAACTGGTCTCTTCATCGTCAAAATGTCTTTAGATGTTTGGAGAAGGATCAGCACTGAGGAACAAACTGGACCTGGAACAAGTTCTGCTGGATCAAATCCAGCAAGGGCAGATCTGTGTGAGACAGAGCTGAAGAATCTTTGGTTCTGATCAAATTATTTACATTTTGTCTTTTTTTGTGAGGTTGAACATGGAGATGCGTCCTAAAAGTGGTTTTGTCTGTTTTTGACCTAAACCTGGGTTCAGGTCCAGGACTGACCCGGCTCCTGTGCTGCTCCTCGTCTCTCTCTCACAGCTCGGTGCCTCACGATAACGATCAGGAGGCGGAGCCTCAGCAAACGCACGATTCAGGAACAGGCTGTGTGTGAGCGTCCACTTCCTGTTTGTCTCACAGAGACACGTCTCTGTGTGTCGGAGACCGAGAACAAAATCGTGACTCACAAACGGGTCTCTGCAGTCAGGTTCCTCTCACAGGTCCAGACCCGCTTGCCGAGTTCCCTTGCGTTCTCTTCCTGCAGCGCTGACCTTTGACCTCCTGGGTTCTTCTTCTGCATCAACTTCCTCTGTAGTTACAGCAGGTTTAGTGTCCTCAATTTTTAAAAGAATTAATGAAAATTATAACTTTTATTTCTCCCAGAGGGTCATGTGACATATTTTATTTGATAATTTTATCCAATCGACAGCAAAAAATAAAAATATTTATTCTTTTTCATATTTATTCACATTTAAAAAGTTAAAACTGATACATTTATGTTCAAATAATTAACATTAATCTTCCAGCATCATTTAAGGAAAGGACGAATATTGATTAATTTATTTAGTTGTGATTTTAAGTAATTTTTCTAAATCCTGTGCTATCGGTTCAAGCTCAGAGTATATGTGGAGTGTGACTCTCAGCTACTACCACTCCATGTTTCAGCTCATTATCTTGTTAAATTGTCTGAGTTTTAGATTTTATTGTGTTGATAAAAAATACATGAAAACTCAGGTCCTTCTTTCAAAGCTTCAGCTGCTGGCTCTGTTTTTATCTTCTAATGCTATTTTTAGCTACAAGTTTGCAGATTTCAGTTTTAGCTCCAGTTCATGTACTGTTTGGCTTCAGTTTGGCTAATTTTTGTTTTTAGTTTGTGTTGTTCTTTTATCTTTTAACAATAATTCTGCTTTTAGCTCTTAATTACAATTCTGCGACGTTTAGCTTTTAGCTACAATTCTGCTACTTGTAGCTCTTAGTTTTAGTTTGCCTATATTTATCATTTGGCTCCAGTTTGGCTAATTTTAGCTTTTGGCTACAGTTGTTTAACTTTTAGCTTTGAGTTCTTCTACTTTAGGTTTTCACTACAGTTTTACTTTTAGCTCTTGGTTACAATTCTGCTACTTTTAACTTTTAGCTAGCCTTTTTGTGCTTTTAGCTTGCATTTAGCTTCTTTTTGCTAGTGTTTTGCTACTTTTAGCATTTGCCTAGACTTGTGTTTTTTTATTATTCTTAACAGCTGAGATTCAGCTTCTTCTTCTTTTGGCTTTTCCCTCCACAGTGAGTCATCCTCCTCCATCTCTGTCCTCTACATCCTCTGTCCTCACTCCAACTACCTCCATGTCCTCTCTAACTGCATCCATATATCTCCTCTTTGTCTTTTTCTTGGCAGCTGCATTTCTAACATCCAACCAGTATACCCAATGTCCCTCCTCTGGACATGTCCAAACCATCTCAGTCTGGTCTCTCTAATTTTATCTCCCAGTTGTTCAACCTGTGCTGTACCTCTGATGATCTCATTCCTAATCTTATCCATCCTTATCACTCCTAAGGAGAACCTCAGCATCTTCATTTCTGCCACTTCCAGTTCTTTCTCTTGTCTTTTGTCAATGCCACTGTCTCCAGACCATACAACATAGCTGGTCTCACCACTGTCTTGTAAACTTTTCCTTCGATTTTTGCCGACACCCTTTTGTCACAAATCACTCCTGAAACTTTTCTCCATCCTTCCATCCTGCCTGGACTCTCTTCTTCACCTCTTTACCACATTCCCCATTTTCCTGGACAGTGGACCCCAAGTACTTGAAGTTCTGCTGCACCTTTGTGACCTCTGCTCATGGTAGCCTCACTGTTCCACCGGCCTCCCTCTCATTCACATGAACTCTGTCTTACTACGGCTAACTTTCATTCCTCTTCTTTTAAGTGCATACCTCCACCTCTCCAAGTTCTCTTCCACCTGTTCCCTTGTCTTACCACAGTTCACAATGTCCTCTGCAAACATCATAGTCCACGGGAATTCCTGCCTGACCTCAACTGTTAGTCGGTCCATCACCAGAGCAAACAAGAAGGGGCTCAGAAACGATCCTTGATGCACTCCCACCTCCCCCTTGAAGCTATCGGTCCCTCCTACGACACATCTCACCACTGTCCTCATACATGTCCTGTACCAGTCTAACATACTTCTCTGCCACTCCAGATTTCCTCATGCAATACCACACCTCTTCCCTCGGCACCCTGTCATATGCTTTTTCTAAATCCACAAAGACACAATGGAGTTCTAGCTGACCTTCTTTGTACTTCTCCATCAGCATCCTCAAAGCAAAGATGGCGTCTGTGATGTTCTTTCTCAGCATGAAACCATACTGCTGCTCACAAATAGTCAACTCTCGTCTAAGTCTAGCTTCCACAACTCTCTCCCAGATCTTCACTGTTTGACTCATCAACTTAATTCCCCTGTAGTTGCTACAACTCTGTTCATCGCCCTTGTTCTTAAAAATGGCCACCAGCACACTTCTCCTCCGTTCCTCAGGCATTTTCTCACCCTCAAATATGTCAATGAATATTTGAGTCAAAAACCTCACTGCCACCTCTCCGAGACATTTCCAGACCTTCTAATTTTAGCTGTCTTTTAGCATTCGTGCTTAATTTGAGCAGAATGCCATTTTTCTGGTTATGTTTAAAACTTTAGCCTCTTTCAGAGAAAACCCAGTGCTGAGATTCAGATCTCCTGTTTTCACAACACATGATGTTTTAGGTGACAAACTAAATCTGATGTTGCACAAATATCAGCCAAAACATTAGCTGAAGTGCTTCAGACATGATGGTTTTCAGCCTGATTTTACTCAGCATATTAAAATACCCATCCATCCATTATCTTTTACCCACTTCTTCCTTTTTGCGTCACAGGGGTCACTGGTGCCCATGTCCAACTAACTCTGCGAGAGCTGGGGACACCATGGACAGGTCTTACAGGGACACATGTAGACAAACAAGACAAACAATCATTCATCTCTCACTCACACCAAGAGACAATTTAGAGTTACCAATCAGTCTAACATGCATGTTTTTTGGTCTGTGGGAGGAAACCGGAGTACCAGGAGAAGACCAACGCATGCACGAAGAGAACATGCTAACGCCATCCAGAATGACCCCTCGGTCGGGATTCGACTTAACGACCTTGCTGAAAGGCAGCAGCTCTGCCAACTACTCCACCGTGCTGCCCATATTAAAACTCTTTTTTTTTTATTACACAAACTTTTTTTTTACTTTAGCCTTTGCATTTTTTATCACCTGCCACCATGAAATATGGACAATGATGTCATCACCTCTGAGTGACTGTTAGCAATATATCTCATGAACAACTGGATAGCTTTTATATCCTAAAGGCCTTTTATATCCCTATATATTTTTATTCTGGGATATTGCTTTTAAAAACTTTATTTCCTTATTTTTCTGGATGTAAATCCCATTTTTCGTACTACATCCTCTGGTATCAGATGCTGGGCAGCTGGAAGGATTTTTACTGAAAACCTTTTTACAAACCGGATTCCAAAAAAGTTGGGACACTAAACAAATTGTGAATAAAAACTGAATGTAACGATGTGGAGATGGCAAATGTCAATATTTTATTTGTAATATAACATAGATGACAGATCAAAAGTTTAATCTGAGTAAATGTAACATTTTAAAGGAAAAATATGTTGATTCAAAATTTAACAGTGTCAACAAATCCCAAAAAAGTTGGGACAAGTAGCAATAAGTGGCTGGAAAAAGGAAATTGAGCATATAACGAACAGCTGGAAGACCAATTAACACTAATTAGGTCAATTGACAACATGATTGGGTATAAAAAGAGCTTCTCAGAGTGTCAGTGTCTCTCAGAAGCCAAGATGGTAAGTGGATCACCAATTCCACCATTGTTGTGCAGAAAGATAGTGCAGCAATACCAGAATGGTGTTACCCAGCATAAAATAGCAAAGACTTTTAAGTTATCATCATCAACCGTGCATAACATCATCAAAAGATTCAGAGAATCTGGAACAATCGTTGTGCGTAAGGGTCAAGGCTGTAAAACTCTACTGGATGCTCATGATCTCCAGGCCCTTAAACGTCACTGCACCTCAAACAGGAATGCCACTGTCAAGGAAGTAACAGAATGGGCTCAGGAATACTTCCAGAAAGCATTGTCAGTGAACACAATCCACCGTGCCATCCGCCGTTGCCAGCTGAAACTCTACAGTGCAAAGAGGAAGCCATTTCTAAGCAAGCTCCACAAGCTCAGACGTTTGCACTGGGCCAGGGGTCATTTAAAATGGAGTGTGGCAAAATGGAAGACTGTTCTGTGGTCAGATGAGTCACGATTTGAAGTTCTTTATGGAACACTGGGACGCCATGTCATCCGGACCAGAGAGGACAAGGATAGCCCAAGTTGTTATCAACGCTCCGTCCAGAAGCTTGCATCACTGATGGTATGGGGTTGCATGAGCGCTTGTGGCATGGGCAGCTTGCATGTCTGGAAAGGCACCATTAATGCAGAGAACTATGTTCAGGTTCTAGAACAAAATATGCTCCCATCTAGACGTCATTTCTTTCAGGGAAGACCCTGCATTTTTCAACACGATAATGCCAGACCACATTCTGCAGCAATCACAACATCATGGCTACATAGGAGAAGGATCCGGGTACTGAAATGGCCAGCCTGCAGTCCAGATCTTTCACCTATAGAGAACATTTGGTGCATCATAAAGAGGAAGGTGCGACAAAGAAGGCCCAAGACGATTGAACAGTTACAGGCCTGTATTGGACATGAGTGGGAGAGCATTCCTATTTCTAAACTGGAGAAACTGGTCTCCTCTGTCCCCAGACATCTGTTGAGTGTTGTAAGAAGAAGGGGGGATGCCACACAGTGGTAAAAATGGACTTGTCCCAACTTTTTTGGGATTTTTTGATGCCATGAAATTTGGAAACAACAGATTTTTCCCTTAAAATGATACTTTCTCTCAGCAAGGTGGTTTTTACAACTGGAGCAGCTGATTAACGTCTCAGAGCTCAAATATTAGCTCAACTACAGCCCTAAATCCCAAATGAGTTGTAAAGGAGGTGCCGTGGATGCATCTCCGTCTACCTGGCGGAGGTGCTTGAGTGACTGACTGCTGAGACCTGGAACCATATCTGCAGCCAGTTTCTTCAGCTCTGCTGTGAGACGGACTGCTGCGGGAGATACTTCCTGCCCACAGCCATCAGCATCTATAACAACTCTTAATGAAACCAGGATGATGAGCTACAACAACATTTAATTTCCCTTTGGGATTAAAAAAAAGTATTTTAAATTGAATTGAATTTAAAACTTTCCAGCCGGTAATTATTGTATAAATATCTGCAACTGAGCCAAGATGGCCGCCACAGCTGAGCAGCAACACTGGTTCTAACTTGTTCAGTTTTACAGATACTCAGCTAAAATCTTGTGTTCTAGTAGCTGAGCGTCATCTTCCTGACCTGAAGCCTAATCAGCACCGGCCTGACCCGATTCTCATCAGAACCATTCAAACACCAGGATTTATCTCTAAGTTAAACTTTTATGTTGTCACAGCGTTCCAGCCCAGAAACGGTAATTAAATTACTGGTAATTAAAAATGTCGTCTTTCTGCAACAAAACAATGCGATCTCTGTGTCCGGTTACAATATTTGCCAACTTTTTGTTAAAATGTGAACAAATGCAGGATTTAAAAACCACATGACCAGAGACTTGACATATGTGGCTTCATTTGAAACTTCAATAAATCTAAATTTAAAAGAAGCTACTGAAACCAGTTTTTATTGATAAATCTGCCGGCGTTCATGTGAGCGGATCAAAATATCAAATTATTTCATCTGTTTTTGTTGGAGCTATCGGTGTGTGAATCAGAGCGACCTGCGGGTAATCTGCTTTGTGTAACCACAGAAAACTGTTTGTGTTTTTGTTCTGGATCAACAGAACCTGCTGCTGGACTTCCTGATAAACCTCACTCTGAGATCATCTGAAAACTTTTCCATCCTGTTCAGGAGACCAGACTTTCAAAATAAAAGATGTTTACCTCTGAACGCTTGCTGCTCAACAAGAAAACACATAAAACAAACAAGTCATAAATGTTTTTACTTTAATAATTTGAGTCAAAGCTGGACTCAGAAACGGCTTTATTTACTGGTACATCATTTCAGCACTGTTTATATTTGTCTGTTTGAATGATTTTAATTTATTTTATGCATCTTTATTTTTACCATATGAACTGTTTGACAACATGGACGAACACGCAAAATATTTAATTTATTACAAGTAATTTATAAAAATAAAAATCTTATTAAAACACAGAAAACCAATATGTCTTATATTTTTTTCCAACAGGGAAAAAAATACAAAAATATTTTCTAAAGGAAGTGAATAAATAAATGTAATAAAAAAATGTAAGCAAGAAAATAGTTCTGAATGAAATACATTAAAAACAATATAACTGCAAGAAAACAATAAATGCACAAGTTTTAAAATTAAAAACAGCCACTTGAAAAAAAATAAAAATAAAAAGAGTAAAGCTTAAAAATAAAACCTATATTTTATTATATAATAAAGTATTTAAAAACTTAAAAACTCTGATGGAAAAGTTTATTTTTTTTTAGAAATTTAAAAACAAGTAATACTGGATTAAAATGACAATTATTACTTCAATAAACTATTAAAAATGTAATAAAATATATATAAAATTACAACAAAGTCAAACAGTATTTAAAAAGAAATCAAATAAAAAAGTACAGCTTCTTGAAATGTAATTAAAAAATTAAAATAAAATTAATAAACCAGCTTAAGTTGTGAAATAAATCAAATAATCCTGGATGATATTTTTTTAAATAACATTAATTACTATTTTATAGTTGTCTTTAAAAAAGTACCAAAAATATATATAAAAAAGGGCAATTTACTGGAAAACATTTTATTTACTTCAAATTAAAAATTACATAAAAAGATAAAAACGCACAAAGTAAACAATAAATACTTCAGAAATATCTGTAATGTACATTTTAAGTTACAGAAAAAAAAATCTAAATAAATACCCTAAAACTAATCAAATCCTTAGTTTTCAGCTGGATTTCACAGAAAACCACCTTTTCTTCTGGTTTTGTGTTTAAACTTGTTGAAACCAGCAGCTCACCTGGACTACCTGCGCTTCAGTTGTTTTTTGACGTGTGACCCGTGTTTGTTGTCTCTTACAGGACGCTCATCAGGACCACGAGGACTCCATGATAGAGGATGACTCCATGCCCGTCTGCGCTGTAAGTCCAGCTCCCGTCCTGGTTTTAGAGTTGACCTCGGACTGAGAGGTGGCTCCGGGTTTCGGCTGTAAACAACTTTGATGGTTTCTGCTGCATTCAGCAGAGTCTGTCGGGCTTTTATTGATGAGTAAACAGTTTTTTGGTTTGAAGGTGGACACATGTGGCCTGGTGTGTCAGGTTCAGTTCCATTCACCCACATCAGAGTCCTAGTCTGTTAGAGAACTGAACGCCTACTCCTGTTAGATAATTACTGGGATGAAAGTGAAGCATCGCTCGTTTCTGAATTATGACTCACGGTAAAACAAAACAAAACTCCCTCCCAGCCTTTAATACGTCCAGGGAGTTATTTTAATTCATGAAGTGAATCGTTCTGAGTCTAAATCTGCTCATTGTGAACTGCAGTCACAGGAAAAACAAAGTCCACCTTCTGTCAGTTCTGGGCCTCTTTTAAGACTGGATCTTTGCAGCACCTTGGTTCTGTTCTTTTTGACCTGCTCTGCTGTAGATTAGCTGCTGTGTTTGGAATCATTGTCCTGTTGGACCCAGTTTGGACAGATGAACTCACATTTGACTCCAGAACCGTTCGGTCTACAGAGGAGTTCATGGTCCGCTCAGTGACTGCAGGGAGCCCAAACCACCTGCCCTCCACCACCGTGCTCAGTGGTTGGGCTAAACTGCGACTGGTGGAGACTAATTAGTCAAGATTTGTTTGTGAGGGAGTGTCCAAAGTGTCTCAAATGTTTGTAGGGACTCTCAGTGTTCTCCCATGAGTCTCTCACAGCCTTGTCTCTCACCCTTCTCAATAACTTTTAGAGTAGGAGGCTGGAGTCATTTCCCAAAATCAACACATCAATGTTCTGCTCCTTCATGATATGATATTATGCCGTATTGTTTTACATTATTGGTGTTTAGCATACATCTTACATCTTTTAGAGTATTGTTTGACGTTTGTTTAGCGTATATCTTAGTGTATGTCTTAGATCCTTATATGCTGTTTCTTTTTCCACTTTATATTTTTGCTATAGTTGGTTGTAACTGGGACCCTGAATACATAATTTCGTTCCACCTCATGTACCACATGTGATGAGAATGACAATAAAATAGACTTGAATTTGATAAGCTGAGGTAAACACCTTTTTTCCATACAGCATTTATCCATTTGTCCAGTTTAAGTTGATGTTCTTGATGAAAGAAACTCACGCTCTGCAGAGCCTTTTTGTGTGTCTGACTGCATGTGTTAATCTAGAGCTGATTCTAGAAGGCTCTGATATGAACTGGTTGTCTTGCATATTCAAGGTGTCTCAAACTCCTCTCAGTTTTGTTGCTGGTTTCTCAAACCCCTCTCAGTTTAGTTGCTAGAGTCTCAAACCCCTCTCA